TAACTCTGCATTTTTACGATCTTCTTCGCTCTTTTTTCTTATTCTTTCAGCTTCATGTTCTTCTTGTTCCCTTTCTATCTCCAAAGTTCGTATATGCTTCTTAATTAATTCCACCCTTCCTAATAAAGTCCTCTCTTCTTCAGCTGCCTTTTCTTCTCCTTCTCGTATCAACTCCCTCATTTTTTTATAAAACTCTTGCTCTTTTACCAAACATTCACGTTGATACACTTCCCATTTTCTTTGTGCCTTTTCTTTACACTTTAACATTGTTTTTTCTAGTTCTCGATCGGCTTCTTTCCTGCCTTCAATCAACTCTTGATTTAATCTTCTTGCACGTTCTGACTCTTCACGATCAAACTGGCACATTACAAAATCAAGCAATTCTTGTTTTACAGGTAGAGGCATGATTATAATTGTATTAGTATAATGCGATAGTTTATATAATACAATAAATGTGGTAATAAAAGTAAGTACGTTCCACAAATTTTCAGGCAACATATATATATTAGTATTAGGACGATCATTTGCAGAATGCCGCAGAAATCACGGAATGTGTATGATAATAATGCTCTATAGAATACCGCAGATAATATGAAAAAGGAATTTAATAAGTGTAATGGGATTAATAGGATTATTAATTAACGCTATAATATTTTCTAGATTAACATAATAATAAAGTTTCTTTTTAAATAATGAATAGAAAAAGAGGTACGAGAACATTAACAATCAATCCTAATTTCGCATTGATGATGGAATTTTATTTGTAATTTTTGTGACCATTCTATTAAGATTGGATACGAAAGTCAACTGTCAATCAATGACCATCTTAATAGTAAAACAAAGGCAACGTCAACTTCAACAAACACCAGTTACCTCTCTTTCTTTCTGATCTAAAAAAACTATAATTCATGATTTAATCGAAGCCCTTTCTATAGCAGATAACTCTTAATTTTTTTAAAAAACATTACGAAGAGCAAGAAAAAATAAAAAAAGAGAAAGAAAGACTTGCAGAGGAAAAAAAAAAAAAAGATAATATAAAAAGCCTAGAGGATCAATTAAAAAAACAGCAAGCATGGATCAGCTCAAAAGAAATTATGTGAAGAGAATTGGATTTGTTTAATTGAATGAAGATCCTGAA